GAGGTTAGGGTGGTTCCCTAGATAGTCAGATGACATTGACGAACTTGTTCATTGGTTGTTTTTTAAAGAATGTGTAAAATAAAAAATAAGACTAAAACTAAAATAAGAAATTTGGTTACAATCTAAATGAATGTCCCATAACCAGTATCAAATCCATTATAAGCTAGATTAAGGCTAAGGCTAGTGTATGCATTAAAGGCAGAATTATTATTTTTATTAATTAAATAATGAATAACTTTTTAAAATAAGGTTTGAAGCTAGAAATGTACAGATTAGGCCATATATAAAATTACATTTTGTCATTGTTCAACAGCTCAAGTATGTGATTGATGTAAAAATGAAATTTTTGTAATACAAACGAAGTATGCCCTACAGCATACACCCTCTAATAAGGCATTTCTCCTGTGGTGAATTGCCTTCTGAGATGCAATCAAACCTCCAGCTGTCCTCACTTATTTTAAAAGATTGCTTCACTTCTCACATTTATGAACACAACATTTATGTCGCAGCTTTGATGCAATGCACAATGTAGGCGATATGTTTAAGATGCAGAACTTTGACTTTGACCTGTAAAAATTTATTTTTCATTTATTTTTTTATTTTTTTTTTTTTTTTTTGCTGGAATCCGTCCGTGACAATGTGACGATGGAGTGGGCTTCGGAGGAAGAAATCCACATGGCCTGGGATTATACTTCAAGGATTATAAGCTGGTTCCCAACAGCAAATCGCCTTTCTCCACGCCGCTGGATAGCCCAAGGGAACATCATTGGATGATACAGCTTGGCACCAGTGGCGTCGCAGGAGTTGACTGAATATTTCATTGTACCAATGTTATCCGCCTTTCGGGACTCCATCTCCGGGTTTGATTTCAGAGTTTCCTTCTCTTAGATGAGTTGCCATCCAAGGTTAACGAGTCCCATCTACCCGGGGTGCTGGTGATGATTTTTTGCTTGACTGGGCTCTGGCTGGAATTGAACTCGAGACCACCAACTTGAGATTTGCTCAGTTTAGACCACTCGGCCACTCTTTTATATGTTGTGTTTATATGTTGGGTTTATATTAGAACAGTTAACAGGAAGCGTGTTTTATTAGAATACAAATATTTAACATAACTTCGGAGTCAAAACCATTTCTTCGACTTTTTATTTGAATCTGACAATGCATCCCCCGATACATTCGCTTTCAATTATGGATTTGTTAAAATCATTAATGAAAACTTTAAAAAAACTTTAAGTTTTTGTTTAATAGACATTGATACACATTTGTTTTTTAGAGTCTAAATACCGGACTTCAACTCAAAATTCAGACACTAATTTTAAATTTTATATTTAAAAAAAAAAAAAAAAAAAAAAACTATCCCACCAAAGTGACCAATCTCCGACCAACTTCAAAGCGACCTTGACCTCCATCCCAGCAGGCACGGCGAGTCCATCCTCCTCGGGGAAGGGGTGGGTACTCTTCCCGTGGATCACAACATGGCCGCCGCTGCCACTCGTGAGGCCCTTCAGAAACTCTCCGTGTTCCAGGAAAATGACCAGCGTGAGACCTGCGGCAACACACGGGGGCTACCATTAACTTTTGAGAACCCGTCTGCAGAAGCTATCAGTTGACCAACTGGGATTTCGTTACCATTTTGTCAATCATTTTAGTTTTAACAAATAATTTTTGTTTAAAGGGAGCAAAAATATCTTTTTCTCTTAGTGCTATATTTATGATGCTTTATTTTTTTCTATGCAGAAATTTATTATCAAAAAAAGTGTTTATGTTAATTTTCAAGAATCGAAGCATTCACACATGAATTGTAACTAAGTGACACCTAAGTTCTAACAGCTGATATAAACAAGGTTTACAATATACAGTGTCTTGTAGCTTCCATGAAATAATTTATTTTTTTTAAATTTGTTGGACTAACTACAACAATCAGGAAAGTATTTACTTAAACCTCCCAACCTTGAATATTTTTTATTCTGCAAATATATTTAATATCCTAGTAAAAAATGTGTATTTGAAATTCATATTTCACGAGAACTTAATTGTCTAGTCAGCTCGGATATCTCAGTCTACCAATGCCTGTGTAACTATAAACATTTTCCATGCGTCGTTTGACCCCTGTGACTGTGACATGACCTTGTCCTTGTCCGATAGTTTTCTCCAGTTAAAGATGTATTCCCCTCCCCCACCCAAGGGACCTGGCGTCACTTAAAGGGGAGGGGCGCGAAATCGACGTGCTGGAACAAGCGTTTTCTTAATACCAATAACTTATTTTATTTTTTATGTTTTAAAGTTTTTGCTTATAGGTAACGTTAAATGATTGAAATAAGAAAATAAAGGCTACACGCTAATCTGTAAAGTCTGCTCTCCTCGTACACTGTGTGGTAAAGCTAGAATAGCATTTAAAAAAATTAATTTACTGTAGTTTGATAGTGGCGCGATTTTAGTTTGAACCGAGGCCGCCATGTTTCCATGGTCACGTGACTTCGTTTGGCCTACCGTATTTGGGTCCACTCCTCCTGGCCATGAGAGACTCGTAGTCCATGGAGAAACAGTTGCCGAACACTGAGGACGTGTGGAGGGTGAAATTGCTGTGAAGAATCAAATGTAAAACTTTACGGACTTACTACAGTGTAGAAGTCAAGTTTATGACTTTTTGTCGTGATTTATTGCATTGTAGAATTCATTGCCTAAAAAATCATTGTAGAAATTAGTGTACTACTAAAATCCATTTCGCACATTCCTTTGAAGAAACAAAGTTTCCTATAAGGGTGTCAAAAATAGGAAAAGTGCCTCCCCGGGTACCCGTCAACTCACGCAGCCGGGTACCCGGAAAGCAAGACAAGAGTGAGGGAGTCATTCACGTGTTGGCTTCTATCGCTGGTTGGTTTTAATATATATAGAAGCGGTCCTCACCCTATTTTTCTCCCGTACCCCTTGATTAGACGTCTCCTTTATGAATCCCCCCACCCCACACGTTTTCCTCTACCCCAACAAAGAATTAACATAGATTAACCAAACAAAGTATTAACATAGATTAGCCAAACAAAGAATTAACATAGATTAGCCAAACAAAGTATTAACATAGATTAGCCAAACAAAGTATTAACATAGATTAGCCAAACAAAGAATTAACATAGATTAGCCAAACAAAGTATTAACATAGATTAGCCAAACAAAGTATTAACATAGATTAGCCAAACAAAGTATTAACATAGATTAGCCAAACAAAGTATTAACATAGATTAGCCAAACAAAG